CCAACCCACGCCCACCCCTACAAATGATAGAAATAAAAAATAACCCAAACCCTAACACTCCTTCCATTCATTCCTCTCCCGCCCTTGATGCCAATCCGGCGTGCATCTATTGTGAGGAACTTGGAATTTACGCTCCATGCTCCCGTTTCCTCCTCCTACAAAATCCTCTACTGTAAGGAACTTGGAATTTGATACCCCTTTTGTAAAAACCCTCCAACCAGCATTTTCACTGCCTACGGTTGTTATTCAGCCTCATAATTCAATTTAGCCTCCACGATTCAGCCTCATAGTTTGATTTAGCTTTCGCGATTCAACCTGGTCCGTCCTTGCCGCCAGTCTGCCACGCTTGCCACCGCCACTCCGCCCATCGCCCACTGCTAGTCCAAAGGTCAGTTTTGCTTTGCATTGCCTAAAGTTCAATCATTATTTTATTCTGGAATTTCAAATTTCGAAATATATTTGTGATTTGTTGGTGGAAATGTCAATTGGTTGGTGTACTGATGAGTAATGCTTTTCCATCTTTTTCCTTAACTTGAGTTTAATTGCAGGAATGGCGATCACAGCAGATTGCCAGTGGAGAGGCAAAAGATAATGCTAATTTTCATCCACTGGGAGGTGATTGGTATTGAGCCTGGACTTTCTGGATATCACACTAGTATATGAAATTTTAGGAATTATCAGTATTTAGCCTGAGCGATACATATTGTTAGATACCTGGTCCTGACCCCTTTTTACATCACTAGCCTATTCCTGTAGTTGTATGGTGAAATGGGGTGTTTCTATAATGCTAGGAAAATATTTGAAGAATTGTCAGTGAGAGAGATATGTTTCTTGGAGTTCTATAGTATCTATTTATATGCAGAAAGGGGAGTTCTATAGTATCTATATAATTGCTGTATTTTTCAATGTTCTAAACTCACACTAAAACTTTTTGGACGTTAAAGGGTGTGAAACAAATATCAACGTGTTTACTGAAATAGAACATCTTTGAAGTTCTCTGCTCTTGTTCCTCGTTGCTATAGCATCATTAAATTGAAAAGAGCTTTACAATAGAGAAAGAAGACACTTGTTTTTGCGGTTGCAGGAATGTCATTCATAGCAGGAATGCGGTGGAGAGTGCAAGGAAAGAGATTGCTCTATGGTTTCCTGAAGGAATTGCTGAATGGAGGAGCAGCCTTCACCCCTGGATCTATGAGTAAATTTCTTTCTTGAGTTGAGCTACAACTCTGTATGGTTCATTTTGTAATTGAATGGGCAGGCATATGTATGGTTATAATGATATGTGTTTTCAAATCTTAATTATCTGCCCTTATATATAGGAATAGTGGTCATATTTTTCTTTTTCCTCTTCTTAGTTACATTTAGGGTTACTGATGAAGTCTTCATCATTGGTTTAACTGTCGGATTCTGGAAAAGTTATTCAATGACATATAATTAATACTTCATACAGTTATCAGCACTGAAAAGTAAAAAAATATATGGCATAGGTTTGTCAAATAAAATTGCAGACTTTATCTTTTTAACTTCCAATTTTTTAGATTGTTTAGTAACTCAATGTTGATTCGCAAATATGGCAGATTAATCAATACATAAGTTTATATATCCGTTCTGGTGTCCGTCCAAGCGAGCTATTGCAGGGGAATATCAAGGAGGTTTGTTCTAAATCTTGGCTTATCTACATAATCACAATTGCTTATCCCTGACTCTTATTGCACTTGTTTTCTACTAGCACATCTAAATCTGGGACACATTTCCACCTGCTACACACACACACAACTGCAGGTTGCTCTATCTACGTACTGCTACCTGCTACCATTGTATATCTATATCAAGGATATTATACATGCTTTGAACCTCTAATTTTTTCATTCTAAATTATCTATTTCCTTTGCATCATTCATCATTATATTTCTATCATTTTAGTTGTCTTAGTTGTCATTCTTTAAGCTTCATATGTCAAAGAGAAGCCAACTTAATGCACTAAATGTGTGATGCAGGAGGGTCCGAGTCAGATGATGAGTTGTCAGATAACACGTTAATGGCTCTAAGGTATCCCGAGTTGGCAGCTCGGCACAAGGATGACAAGTGTTGGCGTAACTTTGGCAATTGAG